AAATTATGTTTGGCACTAGAATCCGTGTGGTGGATACGGTGGACAGAGAGCAGCCATGGGGACTTACAGCTTTAAATAAACAAGGCATCACATACATAGCAGAGGTCCTCAAAAATCCTTTATATCCAGTGACTGGACCCTTTTCACATTACAGGACCTCCCTCAAATGTGCAACATCTGTTTCATATTAGGATGAGAACCTCCAATACTACAGCTTCCACCTATGTACCTGGATGCTATTGGTCACTTCCTGGGGCAGCGTGAAGTCAGGTGACCAGTCCATCCATTCATATCCTTACGTCACCCGGGCCTTATTACAACTGTAGAGCTCATGCGAAGTTGCCTTATCTTTGCCCTCAGCCCCCAAACCACGTGCCCACGCCCTGACTCCCCAACCCTGCGTCTCACAACCACCCCTCTTAAATTCACTCTTTTTAAATTTCCTTGGCGCTAAAGCCAAATCCATTCGTTCTCCTTCCCCGTCACTGTTTTGTTAAACCTGTCTTCACCGCCATACCTTAATAAATCCCTTGCCTCTTCCTCCTCTCCCTGATTCCCCCGAACCCACTGAGAAAAAGAGTAATAGTCACCTTTCCATTATCCTTTGCCTCACTATCAATGTGGAGGTGCGGCATGGATGCTCCCCGCAGGCCAGAGGAACACGTGCAGGAAGATCACTTACAGCCAGTCCTTCCGCCCTCCAGGAGCACGGCAGGCAGAGGAAACCACAGCTTTGGTTGAAACATGCATAAACCGCCATTGTCCAGACAAAGGGCCGAGTGCGTATCTATTCCCAGCCTTCGGGCTAGCTTTTATTGGCACTTCTTACGGCATTCAGTGAAACACGATGCAAGACAGGGCTTCCTGGCACCATCTAGGAGTGTGTCAGCCTGGCAGTGGTTGGGGTCTTTAATAAAAGCCATACAGCAGTGCCCAACAATGTGAGAAGCTGACAGGAACTGACCTGACGGTACGTTGGACACAAGACAGGAATGCAAGGCCTTGTCACACGGTCATAGTTATATCCAGACCTTGCTACCGATGTTCTGCCAATGAGCCATGCCAAAAAAGGGGGCTGTCCAATAGGATTGTATATTACAGACTCCTCCCCTTTCTGATTTGCATAACCACTGATGATGTTACTGCATTCCAGAGAGATGAAAGCCAAACGTCAAAGACCTGCAGGCAAATCTGGCCACCCATCATCTGCAAGTTCATTTTCAAGGCTGTCAAAATTTGCATGTAAGCTCCCCACAGTTACGAAACCCGTCCGATCCATCAGCAGTTGCATTGTTTCCTCAGGGTCTCCTGAAAAGTCCCGTGAAAACCCCCACGCATGCCAGCCAGCCCCCCAAAGGTTATCCGTGGGTTATGCTATGGTTCACACCGATGTTCTTTCCTACTGTTCACACTGCCCCTTGTTGGCATCTGCTCCAACACCATGGAGACTGTTTCAGCCAGGAGGCAGCTTGAGGGGGGCCCAGTGAAAGGGGAGAGAGCCAGCGGAACACCACTAACCCCCCAGCCCAGACCCCTGCGCCAACCCTGCTGGGCTCCTGCCCACCTGCTGGTGCCGCGTGCCACCCCATAATCCCTGCCGGATAAAACAGCACGGAGTCATGCCAGGCTTGGATGTGGGAGAGCGAGGGGACTGAGGAATTGAAGGTCAACATGCGTGTGAAGAATGACATGCACAGGGGTCACCATCCTGGTGGGGGGGGGGGAGGGGGCATGGGAGGGTCGAACAAGAATGACTGATTCTAGCTCTGAAACAATGGAGGCGCTTCCTTAGGACTGAAGCTGAATTCCCTTTCTGAGGATCCTGAAAGCGGGATGCCAACCCCAGGGCGACCTAAGCGGGGAGCTCTGCCCATAGGAACATCAGCAGGTTTCTGTTCAAGCCGGTCACATCACGACTCACATTCAGTCACCCAACAGTTTACAGATGCCTCATGATGGCTGCCTAAGTGCCAGTTTCTCAACAAGCCAAACCGGAGTATTGGCCAGTCCCAAATACTGAATGAACTCCTACTGCGTGACCACACAATCAAAGTGACAATAGGCAGTATATGTACATTATTTTCACATGGGCAGCTTCAGTCATTTTATGTGCAAGAAACAGGTGCCTCAGTGTGGAGCAGTACAGCCTCGCAACTCTTGGTTTGGGTTTTGAACCCACCCCTGGCTCTTTGGATGCTCAGGTTGGATGGGGTTCCATAGCAAACTGGCACCCCATCCAGGGCGTCGCCTGGCCCATGCCTGCCCCTTCCTCGGCCAGGCTCCAGAATAACTGTTCAATCATTTGTGGAAAACGGAAAGAATATAACAAGATCAGTGAAACGATACTGATAATGACCACATCCAATAGAGCATAAAACTACTGGCATCCACCGTGAGAGACTAAATGTGGACTTTAGGTGAGCTTGAGGGAGAAGCTTAACATGCCTGTCTCTGGAGGGTCTGCTAGCGGGCAAATTCACAGCCCAGCCAATCCTAACACTGCCCCCCTTTCTCTTCTCCTCATCAACCTGCCAAAAAGCCCTCAAACAGGCCATGTTGGTAACCTTACATTTATTCAACAGACTCACCCAAAGTAACATACACATGAGGAAACTGTCGGTTCAGAGAGCAAGTATCAAGGGCATCACCCAAAGGTGACACACCTACGATGCCAGCCATGGGATTTGAACCTATGACCTCCTGAACACAGGCACAGAGCTTTGACTCCCCAAGCCACACACCACCAGGCTCATCAGCGCAGGCAAGATCTGAGACTCCATGGGAAATAGTTGATCACACCTTCTACCACAGTGAGGGTATTCATGCTTAACCAGCCGCACAAGTGTGTGTGTGTGTTTGTGCGGAAATGCACGCCTAGGAATGCGTTTAGGAGCTGAAAAGAGAAAACTGCGGTCCCATCGCCTGCCACAGAAACCTCCACCCTCCCAAGACGGCACAATAGATTCCAGATGTCTGCGCGATAAACAAACGGATTGTCATAACCTGCAAGATATATGAAGCTGTGACAACTTCGTAGGCTGTTTTTTCCCCCATTGCCTTGACAGACAAGCGTGAAACCATGGACAAACTAGGCCAGCTTGATCTGAGTTTGCTGGCACAAAATCAATAAAATATAAGCCGACATTCGCAGGGTTGGTCTAATTAAAATGATGTGTTTCTGTGGCTTAACTAATCACTACCCATTTCAAACAAACATGTGCTAAACAATAAGCAAAAAACTCAAGGCAAGGAAACACATATTAGCTAAAAAGGAGGTATCCAAATGAACTCGTTGCCTGGATTGACCTCTGCTATAAAGTGCTAGATTTTTCTCTTGGCACATTTTGTGAACACAAGCTAGCCGTAGAGGTGTGTAACACTATGGATAGAAAACCACGAAGGCGAAATGCTCTTCATTTTTGACGACCCACCATCCCAGAGTCCCGCTGGGTTCACGTCTGCCAAAATAGAGATAAATGGACTTGTGTACTCTGATTCCACTGTTACTGTATTTACTGAAAAGCCCTGCTATGAGGAACATTTTTTAATCATATTTTGCTAAACATGAATTTACGATGTCACAGTGTTTATCCAAACATAGAGAGCAGGATCAGAACGGCCCAGTTTTTCCTGGCCTCTTCTATGGAGTAGGACTGAAACATTCACACCCTGGACATACTTTTAATATCGGCACAGAAACATGAAGGGTCAAGCCATTTCCCTTGGATGGGGAAGTTTCTGTGGGCTGTGGCATGTGACAGCCCCCCCCCTCACACACACACACACACACACACTCACACACAATTAACCACAGCAATCCTATCAGCCTGTTCCCCACTCCTTTCTTGGCTCCCAGTAAATCGTTTTGCTTTCAAACTGTACCCAAAACCCAGATCAAACCCATTTAAGGAAATAGTCTTTACAGCATGTTAACCCTTTAACAGGCAGGCTTACCACAGGTTACCAAGCCTAAGATTCAGTCTCACCTTCACTGCGTGCAAACAAACAGTCGTACTAAGAGTTAATGGGGACCAGTCACTCTTTCCCTCATTCAAATTTGTGGTCCAATCTTCTCTAACCTGAAAATCATGATTATACCCTCTCACCTAAAACAAACTGTCTAATATTCTACTAGGGTTTGTTCACCTGGAAATCAGGATCATCCCAAGACCAGGGCATGACTTCTCTTATTACATTAGAACAAAAAACATTCCCTGGAGTCCCACTACCCCATTGCCTCAAGGCCACATGCTAACAGACTGTTCCCTGGTCTCCACCTTAGCCAAAGAAAACTCTGGTTTCATGACACTTAGCCCTGTCCATGTGATCAACTGTTAATCAATACCAAATACTAAGAGCTAGAACAACAGGGAATAGTAATGCATAGTTAAAGTAGTAATATTTGTAAAGTACAGGATACATGAGGATCCTCTTTCCACTCCCGTGCAAACAGAACTCACACAAGGGTGCCAAATCCTCACAGCTCCCTCCAACCACCCCCCCCCCCCCCCCCCCCCCCCCCCCCCCCCCCCCCCCCCCACACACACACACACAAGCGCATGATGAGCTTGAGAAATCAGCCCAAAGAATGCACTTCTACATCTCAACATTTCATTTCAGAATCTTCCAGCCCAAGATGTACCGATAAATCACTTTAGCGTCTGAGAGCGCCCACAATAGAGCGGGGAATCTACAGCACACGTCTCCCTCTGTTAATCCAGAGGCAAATGCCTCATTATTCAAAGAGTCGAAGGTTATTGTGGTGAAACGGCCACACATCCAGATGGAACACAAGAGACCATTTCACTATTGGTGTCCAATCCACTAGACCATGAGCACAATTATTGGTTAGACATTCAGGAGTTCATGCATTCCATTGGTGTGTCAGTACCCTGCATGTAGCTTGTCTTCTTCTATATATTGAGTCTTTCCAGGTGGCTTCCAGTGAAGGTATATTGGTCATAACCGCATGTGGTGCACTAGGCAGACCATCCTCCTACCTGTCCACCACGTCAGCACCATTCCAGCAGGAAAAGGCATCAACTGCAGCCACTCCCTGGCACAGTGCCTCAGGCAGGGTGGTGAATATGGTTTTGTAGTGCTGGATGCGTCGGCTGAAATCCCTGCAACAAAGCAACCCGAGGCAGTCAGAGGGACCCCTGGCTAAAGGTTAGTCTGGTTGATCTGGGATGGACACCTGACTAAGAAGGTGGCTGAGAGCCAGACCTGCAGCTGGAGATCCAAGACGTGAGCAAGACAAGGAAAAGAAACTTAGATCCAATCTGTTAACAAATGTGTGAAAAGTATGAAGATGATGCTTAGGGTTATGACAATTTTAAAAGAAGCTGATTTTTAAAGACTGTGTAGATATACACTTGAGGTCCACTTCATTAGATACCTCTGGACTGGACCACACAGGACTCACTTTTGCATCCAGAGCCACTTCCATGATAAATGAGTTTTTCTGCAAACTACTGTTGTACTGAGCTGTTATTTTTGAGGCCATGCTATTAGGTTTAATGAATCTGCCCATTCTCCTCTGACCTCTCTCATTAATGAGGTGTTTTCAGTAACAGAACTGCCCCTGACTGGGTGTTTCTGTTCATCAGGCCATTCATTGTAATCTCAAGACTCAGTAGTGTGTCAAAATCCCATTTGGAGCGACTGTTTCTGAGACGCTGGAACCAGCATGTCTGGCAACAACAGTCACAGCACATTCAAAATCGCTTAGATCACCCATCTTCACCATTCTAATGCTTAGTCACACAGTAACTCTTCACCCTGCCCATGTGCTGTACGTACGACTCCGCTGCCATATGACTGGAGGAGCAAGTGGCTGCGTTAGCGAGCTGGTGACCTAATGAAATGACCACTGAGTGTATGTGGAGGTTACAAGCTTACACTGCATGCTTCTAATTAACGTTAGAATGCAGAGACAAAAGTGCCCCTAAAAGAAAACATTTAAAACAGCAAGATTTGCTACGCATGACCTCACCTTCAGAGAGTGGGTGATGGGAGAGCATTGGGACAAAGAGGATCCATGCTTACCTAGACAACTTTTTCATATTTTTATGTTTATCGTTCTTGGAGGGTTTCAGAGGTAGGGAACTGGGGACGGTCAGACGCTTGGGGGATGGTGGGGGGGGTGGAGGGGGGGAGCTGGAAGTAAGCAGGGTAGGGAGATGGTGAGGACAGTGGAGAAGACGAGTCAGAGTGAGCGGGAAGGAGAACACGGAGGACAAAAAGGGGAAACAAAAACACAGTTAACATTGAAATCACGACCTTGGCAAACACAGAGAACATGTATGCAACAAAACAAAAAACTGAGAACATGCAAGTCAGGCGTGTTTGCATACCATAAGAAATTGAGTCATGTGACAGTGATGTCAAATGTGCTTTAAATATTTCAGTGAAAAAACATCATGTGGATCATAAATATTCGTAGCACAGCATGTCTTACACCTGGATAAGAACCTGAATAAATGACAGCAGTGATGCTAGTGCTTTCTATGCATTCATAGCTCATTTGCTCCTCCCCCTTCTGTTGGGTGCCACTGCTGCTTCACCGAACCAGCTGCTCCCATCCCGGTATAGCCATTCTTCCTGCAGTCTCACTGTAGCTGCTGTTAGCATTACTACTTGCCTCAGTGGCGACCAGCACCGGATAGGGAAACCTTTCTGCAGTGAAAGTGTGAGGTCACTATAGGCCAGCCAATGAGCTGACAAAACCGAATACCCAACTGTGGTGGAGAGTAAGCTCTGCTAAGCCTCCTGCCCCCCCCAAGCCCCTGATAGCTATAGCAGCAGCACAGGGTCACAGACCTGTCTGAAGGTGGGAGATATCACCATGTAAGTCCCAGAGTCACAATGCAGCTATTAGAGCACAAACTTGGGCTCACGGGAGCCGTTCCATGTATCAATCTACCCTAGCTGACTTAGCTTAGCTTAGCATTAGACATGAGACTGAGTATGTAGACATATGATACCAATCAACACGAAAGAATTAACTTTTTACTGTTCTAACCATAAACTCAGATCTCTTCCCTATCTGAATCAAATCGCAGAGCATCTTAACTCCTTCGCTGCCGATGACCTCCAGCTCACAGTGTCAGGTATTGCCCTGTTCTTTGTTGTTACTGCAGATGAAGGCAGTGGTATAGAGGGGTGTGTGTCCAAATCAACATCGGCCAAGATCAGCTCTGGTCTCACCTCAGGAGGGTGCTGAGCTGGGACACAAAAGGCTCAGTTTCATTTGTCAGCGAAGCCGAGGGCAGGGGAGTGGACAAGCTGGGGGATGCTGGTGTCTCGGGGGAGGAATACTCGCCGGTAACTGTCTCTTTGGGCTGCCCACACATCATTTCTACCTGGATGGTAGACAGCAGGGCAAGAGAAAGGAAATGGGGGATGAATCCTTCGAAAAGAGAGTTTGCTCCAAAACCAGGTGAACAACAAACATTCATATAGAGTAGATGAGATAAAGCAATTAAACAAACAACAGGTGAACAAATATCAAGTACGAATGATCCAGCCTCATGGAACATTGTGGTCTTACAGACCAGACAAGGTTCCCATTAACTGTACCATTCCTATCAAGCATTGCCAGTCAAACTAGAGTCGCCCCCCCCTCTGGCAAACCTCACCAGGACACCCCCCGCAGTGAATGGAGCACGTCCGAGACAAGATAAAATTGGGTGGTGAATCCTGCCTCGGGTAGCACATGGGCTTCGATCAGCATGGCAGGTCTGATCCAGCATGGAATCTTTCCGTCATAAAACACACCCATGTTTTCCATTCATGACCCTCACGCTCCATTTATGCTCCTTATTTGTTTGCAGTGTCAACTTTGACAACTTGCACAACTTTTAATAGTACCTATGCATGTCTCTTTTGTTGAATCTGGAACTGACATGCTGTAACCTCCTAACATACCTCAAGTTCAACAAAGTGCCATCCCAACAAGGTGCCAGTGAATGCACATCTGTACCAGAATAAGATATTTGCAGATAGCTTGGATTTATTGACCAGTCAGACAAAACCTTTCTTATAGCTACATTGTAGGGGTGTAACGATTCTCCAAATCCACAGTTCAGTTTATACTTTGGGTTTTTTTGGGGGGGTGGGGTGTGAATAAAAAACAAAAATCTGGGTTTTACTAATCATTAACAATTTGGAACACTAAAGAGGATTATTATCCATCTTGAGCTAATGAATCTAGCCTAGCTTTTAGCACAGAAGTGATCACTCAGTTGTGATTGGACCAAAATAGTCTTGTGACAATTGGAAGATAATAAAATAGGTGTAATGTGCATTTTTACAAAATATACAGCTTGTTATAACTTTAAATAGAATAATAATTTTATGATATACTGTTAATTGTGAAATGAAAAATTAGTTTTGTAACATGAATAAAGTAATGAGAGCTGAACAGTCTGCACCTGCGGCAGGGGGTTTGGGGTTGGGGGGGGGAGAGGGATCATGTTTCCATTTCCCAGATCCGTGACACAAGATCGTCAACATTTGTATCAACGTTTCAGTCTTGGTTTCTGAACTGTTACACCATTACTATCCAGCAAACCAAGGAGTGATATGCTAATGATACCCTGTCTTTCCCTTTGATCAGAACAGCAGTCAGGTTACTACAAAATTAGGTATTTCAAATAAAAAAGGTTTGAATGCAGTTCCCTAAGGACAGCTTGCTGAGGCTTTAGTTTCAGTTCTGTAATGTCATCGTGCATTTTTATCAAATATACATTCCTGTTGGGGTCAACATGTCAATTCTGTTAGAGTGGCAACCGAGTCATGTGAGGAGGACATGCAATGACATTACGATGCATTAGGTCTCTGGGAGAATACTAATAAATTCTGCCAAGTGACAGAACCGACGAGGCAGCAAATCAGCTGGAAGGCTGGGATCACGTTAGAGCAGACATTAGTACTCGCTAATATCTGAATATGTGCCTCATTTAGCATTTAGGGAAAGACTGAGAGAGAGAGAGAGAGCGAGAGAGAGAGAGAGAGAGGTAGGGCAGCGAGAATGCCTGGGGAGCAGAAGAGCAGAGGATGCAGAAAAATGAAAGTCAATTAAGAATTTCTCCTTCTCCGGACACAGCCAATCAGAATCCCAGTAAAACACGTCATCATTACTTTAGCAAACAAAGAACCTACTGACAGGATCTCCAATGGAAAATGTGCTCTGGTGGCAAAATTCCTTACTGAAAAGTTGAGTGCCATGATTGGCAGGACCCAAAGTCAAGAAAGGGAACTTACAGAGCACTCAAGAGAAACTCAAGCTGAGCCCAGGGGAGAGTGAGGGGATTGCCCCTCCTCCAGGTGGAAAGCATTGAGGGCCACTCTGAGGTGCTATGGGTGCCAGATGAGGGCGCCAGAGAGCAGCACTGCTCAAGTGGTATTAATAACTGAGCTATTATTGGGCTGGAATTCTTCAAACACCCAGACGCACCGGCGGGAGTCCTGGGGAGTTCGAGGGAGCAGGAGGTGAGGGGGTCAGAACTGGAGCGAAACACTGCCAATGCTGAAACCTGCCACGGCGTTATTAAGTCACCTAATACAATGTTAGATTCTACGGTAACCTTGTAGTTACTGAACACAAAGGAGGTGGAAAAAACAGTGCCGGCCCTTTAAATGTCCAAATTAAAGCCTTGCTGAAATCACTGAAGATCTCTGGGTTTCCCACACTTACAAAAATATACTATTTTGATTAACACTGAGGCAAAAGAAAACAACAAACACAGCATGAGTCCTGGTGCAAACAAAGGAAAGACAGTTGGCTTTCTGCTAAGACCAGCTACACTCAACATACTGGGAGCAAAGATAAGCCCCACCTACCTACACATCACCCTACTAATAAATCAGGGATTAATTGTTAAACTCCCCCTGCTAAAGGCATCAACATAGATGGCCTGTGCATCCATTTGCCGTGACTATGGTCTGTGTGTCTTTTTCTCATGAGCAAGTATGTATGACAGCCTTCCTGCATGGGCCAGGAGAGGGTGGAGGACAGTCAGATGATTGTTGGTGTCCTTGCTACCCTGTTGCTCTGGAAGATCAGCTTACAGCCACCAAGGGTGGTCCACTGAGGGGTTTATTTGTGCAAGGATTCACCACTGAAGATCAGGATCTTTCTCATAGCTTTTTTGCCCCCCTGTACTGCAATGCATTGTGGGAATGAGGTCCAGCAGGGCCAAACACTGTATATACATTAGGATTTCTTCTCTGCACAACTGCCCTGAGGGCCTGAATGAAGAGTACATCGGGGCACAGCCATGACCAGCCCAACAGGGGAGAGTGACAGGCTTTGCATACTCTCACACAGGCAAACTGTCCCATACCCTCTCAGAACAATTTCATAACCTCACATTCTCTTTCACTCTGCATACACACTCAGCTCTTAAACTCCCACACCCTCTAATTACAGCTCTCAAGCAACTCTGCACGCAAAACGTACAAACAACCTTCACAAAGCTTGCACAGAACGTCACACAATCTTACCCAGTTCTTATAAAACTGCACGTACCCTCATAAACGTGCAGAAAACAAAGACAAAAACTAAAATCAGTTTCTCATTAAGGGCAAGAGGAGTCTATGAGTCCTGTGTCATTAGTGGGGGGGGCAGAGTCTCGAAAACGCAGACGTCCACTTGTGGTCTGCACTGAGGACAGTCAGGGAATACAATTAGCCAGCGTGCTACTGGTTGTGCTAGATGGTGACACTATATGCTTACCCATAATCCTTCCTGGTGAGGCATGAAAAGGATGAACGCAGGAGCTGCAAAATCCCCATCTCAGAACCGACTCTGCCTGACTCCATCCCTGTCCGGTTTGCACGCCAGTAGCGCGGTTTGGACCTTTCCTGTGCTGTTACTGAAAGATGGCTCCTCATTCTGATTTCCCACAGGGTCTCCTGCCAGGCCCCACTGATTTACAGCATCCCCCACTCCGCGACCTTTCTCACATGTGGGTGCCGGTTTCCCTTTGGGGACAGACGACTGACTCATGCAGTTCTGATTCCCGTTTCCCTCCAAATGATGTCAGTTGTAATTAAAGAGACACCCTTCCTCTCGTAACTCATTATAAATAGTCATTCAACCTAAATTTGACTAAATAAAATGTTTATGGATGCGGCACTTTTTCATCTCCAAATGTTTGCTGTGTTTTAAATCAATAACATGTGATTCCAAAGTTCGACGGTAGTGTTGACCTGCGAAAGGGTATCTACGGTTTGTTAAGGAATATGTGAAAGAGGCTGATAAGAACAAAAGCGAATAATACGATGTTGAGAAGTTCTGGAGTGGAATGGAAGTGGGGGGGTTTTGCACGGCCTATAAAGGGGCTAAAATGTTAGTCCATCTATTAGACAAATTTGTTCAAAGCAGGGTGGTCATGAGGAAACAGTGTATCTAGGTTGCTGTCAACCAATGAGATTGGCACCTTGTTACCACGGCGAGACAGACTGTAACCGTTTGTCCGGGATGGGCATCACGTTAGGCAAGCTAGCACGACGGTGGACGGGGGGGCACACTGGCATTCCCTCTGCCCCCGCATCAGCGCTCCTGACATACTCCGTCCGATGACATTCCCACCCTGTCTGCGTCTGCCTGCGCCTAAAATTAAACTTTTTCAGACAAGCTACCATGTGTCGGTTCAGCCAGTCCTTCTAGAGACACAGCACAGTACGATATTATTAGTAAATTTCATACAGTGGCCAGCAATTAATATTACAGCCTGCAAAATATATATATTTGCAATTTAATGAGCGAGAAGTTTTTGTAGCAGTGTTTTCATTGGGGTGTCCTGTACTTTCCATTGCAACTGATATACTGTCAAGTGTGGAATTGGCAGTGCCCGGTCCAGGGCATGGCAGAGATGGACATGTTTACCATGAACTGATCCCCAATAAGTAGAATTTAAGGGTAGTAGAGATATCTTGGACGGGAGAATGGGACGATACTATCAGGACGCCTCTACGAACCCCTGCTCTCAGTGTGGATTACAGTGAAAAAACTGAAGTGAGCCAACTGATCCAAGGACACAGACCCCCCACCCCCCAACCAAAGCCCCCCTCCCTGAGTGAAAATGCAACTGCAGTGAGGTAAAGCGAGCCTCAGCCATCCCAACCATGCGTAAATGCCATGTGAACAACACTTGATCTTCAGGATCGGCATTCCCCAAACACAGACCAGCAATGGCAGGGTGTAAAATAAAACCTCCTTTTCGGGGGGGTGCAGAAACCCTAGCCAACCCCCCACTCCACCCCCTAAGCAGACTCACACTCCTTCAACATAAACGGGAATGTGTTAAAACGTAATCCCCCCACCATGACCGTGGAAGCCTGCCTGCCAGCTTCACAGTTTCACACGCATCCACTTGACTGCACACTTTTTAAAAGTCCAGCCCTCCACTCAGGGGCTGGTGGGGGCCACGGTGTGAAGGAGGGGCGGGGCCATCGGGAACAGCTCTCTCACCTCCCTCCGTCACCCTAACCCCCTCAGTTTGCTGGGACCCCCTCCTGGGTCAGACCAAATGCCCACAGCACAGAGAGAGCATGAAAGCAAAGCAAACTACTCGCCAGAATCTCTGCAGCTTGTAATTCCCTTAAATACCCTTAAAAATTTGTAATTATTCACAGAGCTGATTAGAAGAAATATTAGTGCAATGTTTCTCAACCCAGTCTTTGTGGACTGCCAGACAGTCCATATTTTAGCTCCCTCCCAGACAGTCCATATTTTTGCTCCCTCCCAGCTGCTGGGGGTGCCTGAGGAAGTGTCCAGCTTGAGAAATTCTGTACTAGTGGATACCAACAGTGTCTCCTACCTTCAGGTAAGGTTTGATTTTGCCTTGAGAAGTCAAGGAGGGGGGTCATAAATAATCAAGCAATCAAAGGCTTCTAACTTCAAGTCTGCACGGATGCTTGGATCTCAGTCAGGCCTGCCTAACTGGGCAATCTTGGTTGAGTTACCACAGTGCTGTTTAAATGCTGAGTGTTCTGGCCAGGCTAGATGAGCTTCTAACTCACACACACTGAACAGTGCATGATCCCACACATCAGCACATGCCCTCCATGAGCCACCCATCCTATCTTACATGATCCATACACAGCGTTAATCCTACACGCACACACATACACATATACGTCACACCCATAAGAAGGAAGATGATTTCAATCTAATAAAAGATAAAGGATGCTTCCACAGGCTCTCCTGGTGCTTGAGCTCATAATTACACCCCCCGCCCCCCAGCCTTGTGCTCTAACATACTACCTGGCCACATCCTTTAATCATTCCACTGCTTATCCAGGGAGACGTGAGCCTCTACTGAATAGAGCAGTGTGGGTAATGAAAGGTGGGTGTGTCTAAGGTGGGCATGTCTATAGGTGGGTGTGTCTAAGGTGGGCATGTCTATAGGTGGGCGTGTCTAAGGTGGGCATGTCTATAGGTGGGTGTGTCTAAAGGTGGGTATGTCTAAAGGTGGGTGTGTCTAAAGGTGGGTATGTCTATAGGTGGGCGTGTCTAAAGGTGGGTATGTCTATAGGTGGGCGTGTCTAAGGTGGGTATGTCTAAGCTGGGTATGTCTATAGGTGGGTGTGTCTAAAGGCGGGTATGTCTATAGGTGGGTGTGTCTAAGGTGGGCATGTCTATAGGTGGGTGTGTCTAAAGGCGGGTATGTCTATAGGTGGGTGTGTCTAAGGTGGGTATGTCTATAGGTGGGTGTGTCTAAAGGCGGGTATGTGTATAGGTGGGCGTGTCTAAGGTGGGTATGTCTATAGGTGGGTGTGTCTAAAGGCGGGTATGTCTATAGGTGGGCGTGTCTAAGGTGGGTATGTCTATAGGTGGGTGTGTCTAAAGGAGGGTATGTCTATAGGTGGGCGTGTCTAAGGTGGGTATGTCTATAGGTGGGTGTATCGAATGGTGGGCGTGTCCAATGGTCATTTCTATTGGCCGAAAATTCTATCAATAAATGTTATATCACAAAGAGATCAGACATTCACCAGATATATAGGTCAGCTAATGACCATGATTAATAGACTTCTACAATTAAATGCCGTTTATATTTGTTCATATAGTCATAAGACATTTCCTATGCTTGGTTACCATTAAACATCCAGAAAATACAAAGGAAATGATGCCACACTCTATTCTTGTTGACACACCCACCTTTTAACAGGTCTAGAAATCTTTGGTCATGCCCACAAACCTTTTAACATGCCCACAAACCTTTTGACACGCCCACAAACCTTTTAACATGCCCACAAATCTTTCGGCATGCCCACAAACCTTTTGATATACCCCCTAACATGACAATATGCCTGCTACTCCAGCCTGCAGAAACCTATACTTGTATCTAGAACAAGGCTGGGGAGACCCAGACAGGCACAATACCAGTTCACCATAGGGCACTAATCAAAAAAAAAAAAGCTAAACACACATTTTTGGATTAGGGAGGGACCAGGAGGAAACTAAAATATGGGGAGAGCAGGCCAACAAGAAACACTCCCACACACACACTCACACACCCACACACACACAAAACATACTCACACAAAACATACTCACACAACCACACACATGTACACACAGTCCACATATTCATATTTTTATGGGAAATCTCCAATCACTTCTATGGGACAGTCCCTAATCCCAACAATGATAACCATTCATATCTGTGGGCATAACCCTAAGCACAAATATGAAAACCTTAAGCCATCTGAAAATAATAAAACAATTAGATATAATAATTATTATTTCTAAACATGAGAACATAATCTTGCAAGTATTTTGAACATAAAATGTTAATATATTTACAAATGAAATTAATGGAAGTAAATTATGTGTTCAGGGATGCACAGCTGGGGCAGCACTACAGCTGGCCAGTAGAGGGCAGGAATCCATGTCGACAGCCAGGGCCTGCCACAGCACTTACAGCAGCAGAGATGTTGGAAGCGTGGAGTTTGGCGTGCAAGATGGCCTCCCTGATTTGCGTGCGGACGCCCAGAAGCGCAAGTTCGAGGTCGTGGTCTCCGGCCATGGCACCGCTGAGCACTTTCAGCACGGTCAGGTATCGCCTCCAGGGGTCGTCCAGCTCCGAGATGTGGGCTAGGCAGCCGCGCAGCACATTGAGGCAGTAGCCCTCGCAGGGCTGGATGAGCGTGAGGCCGCGGCAGTGAGGGCAGTACATCATGCGCAGTAGCGCGCGTTCACAGTCCCGAGACAGCAGCACTTTCTCTGTGGCGGTCAGGACCTCAGCTCCCTCAGCCACAGCCCGCTTCATAGCCCGGCCTGCCAGAAGCGAGCCTGCCAGCCCCTTGACCAACTCCCCCGGGTAGAGTCCGAATGGCTCCACCGTCCTCCTTATGGATCTCATGCACTGGGTCCACTCCACGTCTGGTAATGCGGGACCCTGGGTCAACATCCGAAGGTAAACAAACGGAAAGAGGCTGTCATAGAAATGCTGCACGGCAGAGTCCACTGTGACGTTGCCACCCAGGACGTAGAGAGAGAGGTTGGCAAAGAGCTGGGAGACAAGGGGTTGCACATCAGCCATCGATCTGTCGAACAGGGAGCCGGTGAAGTCAATGGAGAAGGAGATCAGGGACTCGAAGTTATCTGCAAGAGAGGGAGAGAGGGAGGGTGTCATAAATCTACAGGGAAAGCAAGCTGGACATCCTCAGAGATTCAGAGGGAGGGTGTCTTAAATCTACAGGGAGACCAAGCTGGACATCCTCAGAGAGGGAGGGTGTCATAAATCTACAGGGAGACCAAGCTGGACATCCTCAGAGATTCAGAGGGAGGGTGCCTTAAATCTACAGGGAGACCAAGCTGGACATCCTCAGAGATTCAGAGGGAGGGCACCTTAAATCTACAGAAAGACCAGGTTGGATGTCCTTAGAAAAGTTGAAACCAGCACACAAAGTCCATTATTGTCCACAAGCTCCATCACTAAACAATGTTACATGTAGATATTACAGTATTTGTAGCATTTGTCTGTATAGTGTAGCCTTATCTGTCTGTAACATAATTATAAATTCTGTAGTCTCTTACTGTTCTGTGAGAAGGCTCATCCCGGACAGTGAGACACAGACATAAGCTGGGTAATTCCACATCCAAGTGTAAAGTTCATGTACTCAGTGTGTGATAAATATTGATATGAATCTGTTCGAAAGGACAGACAGGCAACACCACCCAGCCCTATCTATACAGCTCTGTTTCCTCCAAGAAAGGCAGGTATGGGCCAGCCTGCTTCAGAAGGACCCAAACCAGTCGCTGGGCGGGAACATCAGACCAGCGCCCCAGGCCTGACATCAGCTCGGTGGCATCCTAGCAAATGGTGGAGCCACAGCAAGTGTGAGGAAACAGGCAACACACAATCACACACACACACACACACAATCACACACACACAATCACACACACACACACACAATCATGCATACACGCACATGCACACAATAATATACACATACACGCACACACAATCACACACACACGCACATTCACCCACACAATCATACACACATACAATCACAGACACACATACACACAATCATACACACACACAATAAAAGATAAAGGATGCTTCCACAGGCTCTCCTGTGTAATAATCTCTTTTTGGGGACCGCTCATTCATTTTTATGGGAAAAATGCTAATGCTAACTATGACAACCTTAACCCCTACCCAGCCCTAACCATAACCATAAGTAGCCAAACAAAACACAAGAGTTTTGCACTTTTAGTTTTTTTATTGCAGTCACAGATTTTTATAAAAAAAGATTCTTCCCATATGGGGATCAGGAAACTGGTCCCCATAAGGTAAAAAAGAACGGGTATTCATCACGTTGTGGGGACATTTGGTCCCTACAAGGTAAGGTACAGTATACCTGGACCACACAATCATACACACACACACACACACAATCATACACATGCACGCACACACACACACACACACACAGGTTTGTAATTATATCTTTGTGGGGACTCTCCATTCATTTGTATGGGGAAAACACTAATCCCAACCTTAAACATACGTAACCAAACAAAATACTACTTTTGGCATTTTTACTTTTTTGATTGCATTCACAGATCTTTGTGAAGACCTAAAAATGGTCCCAATAGTTTGAAAATTACAGGTTTTTATTACACTGTGGGGGACATTTGGTCCCCACAACGTAATATAAACATAATCCAAACACATACACATACACACTCACACACACGCATAAGAACACACACAGACAAAGACAAAGACGCAGACAGACACAAATCCAGACACACACACACACACACACAAAAACGCGCACAGACAGAGACCCAGACAGACAGACACGCCCTCCTTCTGGCTGCACTGTGACAGAAAGCGGGTGCAGTCACTTAGTATACAGCAGCTGTGATAAGCAGTATTACTCCCCAGAGAGGTGTCAGGGAACTTCATCTCCACCAGCGATAGCAATCCGGCATGTGATTCACAAAAGCCCATGACTGCAGGCCCCCGAACCATGCCAGGAAGCGGGATGCCTTCCCCGGGGTCACATGACCCCTGCTGCTTGATAAGGAATCTCCCTGGTCTAACGGCACTTGCAAGGACATCAGTCCTCATAGAGAAATGCTCATCTGCCATTACAGACAGCAACAGCTGCCAACAGTTTTCCACACCTTCCTCCCATCATCAGCTCAGGAGGAAAGAAAAGCAACTACAGACATTGTATGGATGAATCAATGTTACATTTATATAGCACTTTTCAAGACATGCTTTACAGAACCAATGTGGAGCCACTTGAACAACCACCACTACTGTATGTAGCACCCACCTGATGGTAGCCATTCTGGACCCGTACGCTCACCACACCGTAGCTAAGGTGGTGAAGGGGCAGGAGAAGATTCAACAATTAGATATAGGGGATGATTAGGAAGCCAAATTTGAAAGGGCTGCAGTGGGCAACTGGAATATCAAAGGTTTGTGCTGTTATATGGGACCCTCTGACTACCCAATGCATTAAAAAAGCAAAAAGAAAAACAAAAAAAATAAAAAAAGTCAGGAAAAAAATCAGGAAGTCTGCAATCCCAGATGATGTCAAAGGAAACACAAGTCAAGGCGTGACTCCTTGAAATGATGGTTAACGATTGGTTTGTGCCAGAATCCCTAATAAAGCACAATACGAGAGCCAGATCCAACGCGCTTCGACGAGAACTGTTATGAAACAGTTTGGATGTTTCTGGCTCCTCTGCTGGAGCAAACGGCTCAGGCTTCAAACCCACTCCATTCCTGATGAAGGACAGGCCTTGCTTTTAATAATAGCAAGTCAGGTCTGGCCCCAGGATCTTAATAGTCCTACCTTCGAAAATGGTAAGTGATCCCAAGGGCTTCGTTAACACAGCACACTTCCCGTTATGCCAGATCGCTTGGATTTTACAATGAGGAAAAGCAACCAGGATCAGCTGCTGGGCCAGAAATGATCCGAGAGATCCTCGTGGAGTTATCCACAGCCAGGGAGAAGTCGGGATCTCTTTCAGGAGTATCGCCGAAGCACACCATTCTCCATTCCATCCTCAACAAGACAAGCCGCCCCCCCCCCAAAAAAAAAGAACAGGTCACTCACACAGGATGAAATCTGCTGGTGGACTCAAGGGCTCTCGATGAGATTGGTCTTCAAAATACAGACACATAAAACTCTCAGGCACTCGTGTGAAGCAGCAATTACCGATTTGCGCAGGAATCCGAACATTAAGGACATGAGTCACCTATTACAGGCACTCAGCTGAAAGAACTGTCTGTCCTGGATGCACCGAAGAGGACTGGATCACGGTCTCGTGTTGGGCAGCAGGTGGATTAGGAGCATGATTTCTACCCCCCTCCTTAACAACTTAACACACAATCCTCAAAAAGCATGGTACGAAAAACACAGGCCAACATCCCAGTTGTCAGGCCCTATACCAAAAAATATAATTTTGACATCAATTACTGATTTTAATCTTGTAACATTATTCCAGCTTGCTAAATTATTTGTAAATGAAACCCAAGACATTATGTTGAGATAACTGCTTACACATGCCTACTCTACGGTGGTCCTGAAGTGCAGAAGAGACCACATTAACGAAAAGCTAAAAAAAAAATTACAAAATGCAAAAACATTTAAGTAAAAAAAAAAATACAATGAGAACACAAATCATTGAAGATGTGCAGAAACGTCAATAAAACACAAAACAAATTTGTTTTCTCAGTTTTTTGTCTTTTTTCCTTTTTTGTGTGTTTTAGTTGTTTTCATGTTTTCATTATTTATTTATTGTTTTTTTTTAATTCTATGTGTTTTTACTTCAGGGCTACTTATCAATAAAGGACCAAGTAGTTCAGTGAACTGCGCTGTTCTTAGATAAAAAGTGGACAGACACACCTAACAAATATAGGATGTTTGGAACAAAGTTTGTGGGCATGCAATGTGTAAATTAGGGTTTGGGTGGGACTATACCAGCCTGCCTTGTATCCTGACCACAGTCGTCTTTTGGGGCATATTTGTGGAACTCATTCCTAAACACAATCAGATACAGAATAATAGAGGTGCGAAAAAGAGCGAACGTTTACTAAGATCAAACTCGTGGGCTTTAGGCTACGAGAGACTGCATGAAGGAAACTCGGGCCAGACTTATAATGCTGCTACGGGACATTATACGGCCTTCGAAAATTACTCCTATGAGGATCTTATAAATGACTAAAACATTGTTACCAAGTAAATAACTCTGAAATCAGAATGTCATGGAGAGATGGAGAGGCAACGACATTTTTTTAATGTCTAACATGTCACAGAACATGAAGCCTGACCACAAACACTTGAAAACAGACACTGTGACATTTCCATAACGTTGACCACAAAAATGGCCACTCTCTCTCTCTCTCTCTCTCTCACTCACTCACTCACACTTTCTCCGTCTCTCCCTTCCCTGCTCTTGGGGGCGCAGCATCTGCACCACCGTCTTCAGCATATGTGTGGCAAGCGGGACCAGGTGTGACCTGTAGGTGGGAGAGGAGTTGATCTCGATGGATGTAGAAACCGAGGCCGCCATGGTGACGCACCAAGACAGGAGGTGTCAAACAGATACACGTCACTAGGAGACAAACAACAGGCACACAGCCTGTAAAGCTATTACACCGTCCACAATCTTCTGAACTTGCCGCTCAACTGTGACATACAGCGTTTTTTAACCCAGGACCATGAATTCGGGCATCCAGTCATTTTGCCGATTTCAAAAGAACTCCAGAGATAACATATGACCGGACTTTCCAGCAATCCAGCTGGGCGCCTGTGATTCTGTCACGATGACACTTCACTTGCTATAGAATGCACTGAGGCATGGCAGCCTCGCATGCCATCCATCTTGACTCCCCCCCCCCCCACCTCCGAGTCCCTGAAGCAACTCTGTCAGGGGTTAACAGGTGGAGTTTGGCCAGTTGGTGAGCAGGAATGTGCACTCTATATCTCCATCAGCATTCCTGCAATTAAGACAGCAGCGCAGCTATAACAAAACTCTCCAAGACAAACAATTCCAGGGATGCCGGGGTATAACGATGCCCTGATGGCAGGGAGTGGGAATGACGGTGAAGGGAAGATTGGGGGGGTGGGATGCTGGGATGGGCCTGAGCCTGCATGACCAGCAGAGGGAAAGGGCGACGTTCCTGAGCTGGTCAGTAACTCACCCCGGCCGTCGGATAAGGCCCCCTGCAGCCGAGGGTGCCGGAGATGGTGCGATCTAGACCATAACTCTGGGAGTTAGGGGCTTGGCTAAAGGGCCCAATGGTGACATTACATCTGTCGGCCTTGAGATTTAAACTGTCAGCCTTATGAACAACAAAATGCACACTATATGAAAGACTTCAGGCTGTTCACTTAATGGGCTCTTCTGGCCTAGACTGACAGCACTAGGTTCCTTTGGTATAGAGAGTCACCTGTCCTTGGTCCTTCCTAGTTGAATTCAACTTTGATGCTGAAAGAATCAGAATTGAGCACTACTTCAGACCCTGTAATAATGAAATAGCAAATATCCCACAAATCCATTCACGCCAGCATATTTCTTATTTGTCTGCAAGCGCCGACTCATTTGTATAGCAAGTCTGGAGCCTTCATTCAGAAGTTGCACAAAACCGTCCAAACTCCAATCCACCATGAGAGTTAATCACCACGCCCTTACAGCAATAGGCGATGATATCTAAATCGATGGAACTTTCCAGACAACTCTCAGGTGAAAAAGGGTGGGAACCGAAAAGAAAAAAAATGCTGACGTAATAAACAGATATTTTAATGCCTCTTTTAAGCAGTCACGCGATGGTGGTTTGAAAACAATGGGATTAATCAGGATGCAGTGCCGAGAGAGTGAGGACAGCCAGTGCAGACTACCCGGTGAGGTAATGGTGTGACTAATCCTCCGATGGACCCTGGGCAGATGTGAGCATGCTCCGTGTGCCGAGAGCCTAAACAACGACGCCCCGGAGAGCAAAGCCACTTCCTCTCACCTTCCACAGGCGGCGTGGCAGCTCTCTCCGCTGACATCACCATCCGGTAGCCCCCAGCCGCTGTGCTTTCCCTAAAACATCCTGACCGTTCCTCCGCTTCCCTCTGTCTCTGTGTTCAAGACTTCTGATGGTACGACCTGAACAGCATCCGGTGGCACGAAATCCCATCTCACCCTAAACATACACACACAAACACCAAGGCTCCCGGGAGGCTGGGGCCAGCTGAGGAGAGGCAACGTCTTGCCCAGAAGTTAAGTTGGTCTCATAAATCATGTTCCTGTGAATTAATCCATCTATCACCTGGTTACAGCAAAAGGATAAAACAACGATGAATGACTGTTGAGCAGGATTATATTAATGAAATCTCCTGGGTTTTGAAATTGGTCTGGGTCTCACTGTTTCCTCTCAGTTTACATCTGCAATTCTTTACAATCAGCAACGCTGAAGAAACAGACGCTATCATTATCTTACACCATCAAGGCTCCACTCTGTTTACCTGGACCTTCTCACCATCTAAACCACATCTACCCATCACTGGCCCGCTGTCTCTGGCTCAGTCACGGTCCCTGGCAATGCCCCAAGTACAAGCCACATGCTCTCATTAGATTGCGACATTTTCTGAGTGTTTCGAACCAGTCAATCCACCCAGTCCTCCATTTCTGGTTCACCCTTGAGTTTTGCATGCAAGCCAGGGGCACCTTGCACTCATCCACTAGTCCCTCAAATCAGCCAAACATGACCCCTGCCACGCCAGCACTATGTAGAACACTTGAGCACAATTTGCAACATGATCCTTAAAATGCTGGGTTTTGGAGGAACATGGGATGTAGCATTCGGCCTTCTAAGGAGCACAGTTACTCACTATGTGTATAAATCAATGTTTTCTGTGTTGTTACCCGAAAACATCTCTGACGCCAGGGCCGCAGCCTCTTCCCGTGAAATCGAGCCCCCTCCCGCTCACCCCTGATACATCTCATCACCCTCTGTTTTTGTTCTAGTCAGCAAAACCCCATTTTGGTATTTTTGTTAGCCCATCCCCATCAAAGCCTGAAAAGGGACACTATTGTAAATAAATCTGTTCCTCACCGCCAGGTCATCATGAAGTTTCCAACTGCACACATTCTCACGCTGCTTCTCTGTACAAAAACTGGTCTGTTGCCCCTTACTACACCATGGATGCCGCTGACAGCTTCATAATTTTGTTAATAAACATCATGTGTTCATTGTACTGGTCCCAAAAGATGTGCATGTTGGAGTCTGGGTCTAGCAGGGACCTACCAGGCCAAGCACAGCTTCCGTTAACAACTGACTCAGCGAGTTCAAGGCACTGAGGAGGAACCTGTAGTGTAACCTGGGGCTTCACGAGTCGCTTGATCAAGAACAAAGGGACGAAAAAGGATCTCAGAGACAGGAGGAGTGTTTTTCCCTCAAGCAACCAGAGAAAGTATAATATTAACTGGCTTTTTAGGGGAGCTGCATTCAAGATCCTTCTGTGTTCTAGTTGTTCCCATGAATGTATTTAACCTTCTCACACGTAAGCTACCATATGCAAGGCAGAAGTGCAGATAAAGAGCTCGCTCAACAATATCTGAGCGATTGTGTTTGGCAGCCGGCCCCCTTTGTGACGGCTGAAAGTCACACCCCCCAGGGAGCAGACGCCCAGTTATCCTATGCTGGCCAGGGATAAGGAGCAGCCGGGAGCAGGGGGAGCCAAACGCGAGCCCAAGAGTGGCCCCGCACTGGCGGGGGGGGTTAAGCAACGATGTAGTGACAGTTGGCGGCGAGGCCAGTGAACCACTAGGACGTCCATGGGAACAAGAAAGGTCACAGCTGACACACAGTAGGAGCCGGAGCTGGAGGTCCACAGTCTGCGGCGCAGTGCGTCTCCAGCCGCCAGCTTGGGGTTACACTGGGGCTGCGTGTCGCCCTCCTCTCCATTCCTCACCGGCGAGGAGCGACACATTCCGGGAAAGCGTGAGAGGCAGGCTCACCCCCTCCTGCGCTGGGCAGCGACAGGGGAAACGAAAGCCTGTAAATCCAGCTAGAACAGCCCTCCATAGTGCCCACAGTGGGCACCTGGATTAGGGTGACCGTACATCCTCATTTTCCCAGACTCGTCCTCTTTGTTGGGAAAACGACTGAAATGTCTGGGATTTCATTTTGTTTCATGCTGACATTTGCTTTGTACAGTCAGAATTCTTTCTATGTGCATATTTGTGTCCTGCCCGTGGCTTTTTCACAAAGCAGATTATGGTGACCCTTGCCTGGATTCGAGGAGCCATTTCAGACAGTGTTGTGCTCTGTGCAGAAGAATGATAAAGTAGACCCAACCCTGAAGTGTCTAAGACAAACGAAGTAACACTATTGATTAAACTGCCCTCCCCCCAATTCAGCTTGATTCACTTCATCCTGCTCATTTATATAGCACAATCAGGAACCTGGTTCTGGTGTTCCATCCATGTCAGGCACAATGGGAATGGATCACGGCTCCAAATGCATAAAAAGAAACAAAACTTCACTTTACTCTATGGTCTGTGTTCATCATTTGTGGGTTTCATCAGCCTTTCAATAAAGCCATTTTCTCATATTATTCCCCCAAAATAACATTTTATGAATATTTAGGAAGAGAGGAACCCAGAAATTATGACCAAAATAAGCATAGTATAATATTTAGAGTAATCTCTAACAACAACGAAAGGAAGTCTTCAGGAAAGGGAAAAATCAGTATCAGATGCTATTTTGTAAAAGGTCATTTGACAGATCATCCATCCTTCCATCATCGTCTAACTGCTTATGCTGGCTTGGGCTGTGCGTCGCTCGATACGTGGATCTCTAAATATGTGCATAACAAAATAAACCAATATCTGTGTACACAAATATTAACACTAGTTCCATAAAACGGATTCCCAGATAAGGCCAGAAACAGCACAAAAAAATTCCTGTTGCTCCGTACTGAAGGAACTGGATGGATAGATACCAAACTGGGCGTACTCCTAGCTAATTTAAAAGTCTAATTAGCAGGACTGGTCAATCCCATAATTGGCCACCTAGGGGAACCAACCTCTGAGGGGGTGCCAACTTGCCCGCTAATTTCACTTTGCCTCAGATGGGGGCTCCGGCAGTGATGCTCATCTAGGGCGCCACATTGGCTAGGACTGGTATCACTAATTAGCATAACTCAGGCAGAGAAGTAAAACCTTAAGATTAAAAAAAATCAATAAATATCTCCTTAGCGAGAAGTACTATGTAAAGTGAGCATAGCCTAAGCTGGTATCCAAGAGCCACCTGGACACAGACTAACATCAGAATGTGCGTCTATATGAAAGACTTCAGGCTGTCTACTTAACGGGCTCTTCGGCTCAGACTGACAGCTCCGGGTCCCACTGGTCATTTGTCTGCATGATCCGAGATAAAAGAATTTGACTTTATAAAAACACAACATTAACTGAAAGCCACGGCTCCGATAAAAAGGCCACCAGACAAAACATTCTTCCACAAGCCTCTCGTGAACCACAAGAGTTACACCAGGCTTAACAAATCTCCACAGAAACAGATCCAGGTATGCAGAGTCTAAAACCTCCATGGCTTGTTACAGCTGAGCACAAAATTAAAAACTATTTGTGTTTTTATGGTTTAAACAATGACACAGTAACGGCATAATGCAAACCACAAACTGGAATGTCTCAAATTCCAAGGATGACTTCTCCCCACCCCTTTATATTTTTCTTGACATTTTCTGCTACAAAACAAAGACAACCTCATCTCTTTTCAATCTATTTTCTACCATGATTCTGTCCTTGGTTATTCTGACAGCCATATACAGAGACAGAGATGAAAAGTGGAATAGTTTGGGTAGCTTTCTCTCAAAGAGCTTGTTTTTAGGAATCCATCAGACATTCTCAATCATGCGGGAAAACTCCCAGAGAAATATGATCATTTCATTATTCTCAACGGCCAGTTGAAGATTAAAGCGGTTCAGCCAGTGCAGTGCAGTCCAGCAGAGCCACCATGCCAGCCCGCAATGGAGATCCCGGAAGGCCCTCTTACCCTGGAGGTCGGCGCCATGCCGAATCAGGAGGAACATCGGTTCGTAGATGTGCGATTGCATGTGCTGCAAGATGTCCCGGAGCACCGCAGCCTGGTAGCTGTCCTCCATCTTGCGGGTGCAGCATGTGGGGCCCTGGTGTTTGCAGACCTGCAGGTCCACATCTGGGAAGTGGGGGGGGGGGGGGTTGGGAAAAAAGAGGATACAGAGTCATTCACTCTCTGAATACACTCATCTAGCACAACCTTGTTGTCATGGCATTCTGGTTTGACTAGCTCTTCTGTTAGCCTTTTATAATGCTTTGTGATGTACTGAAGAGCTCCAGTGTTAACATGCACTATCTGCTGGTTCTACGGTGGAAGCTCAGCCTAGCAGCACTTAAACCTAAACGGCAATGCTTGTGATGTGTAATTTGCCTTGCATGTACTTTGCGACGCAGAAAATTGCCTTCCAAATAAATTAGTGAATAAAAGCAAAATTTCTCAAACAGCAGCCCATAAAGGGTGTTACAGTATGTGGACAAGGGGCCTTAACAAGGAATACGGGACCAAAACGGGAAAAAAACAAATGACACACCGGGCAGACCCTCACTCCTGTCTGACCAACACTCGTCCCAGTTACACGCCAGCTTTGCTGACAAGGCCCGCCAGGCGGACCAGCGTCAGCATGGGTCCGAAATAAGACACGGAGTCCGCACGCTCCAGAGCCTTGCCTCCCACCATCTTTCACCGGAGAAGCACCCCGCGATGACATCAGCGCAGTCTGCGGCTAAAGCTCGAGAACGTGCGGCTGGTGCCTTCACGACCCCCCCCACCTCAGTTTTCATTAGGAAGGATAAACACAGCCAGCTGCGAAACCTGAACTGCCCGCCGCTCTTTGGAGCCCCTGAAAACCGTGCGCCTCCTCTTCCAAATCTATCGCTGAAACACAATAGGATGCGTTGGTTTGTCAAGGCCTGGCCGCATTGCTGGCGCTTAATTACCCCGGCGGGGCCAAGTCCGAGGACCAGCTGCGCTCATCCCTTTCCACTGATGTCATGGTTGACCTCTATCCCGAGCCTGCTCCCCTGGCCGCAACCTCCCATGTGAAACTAATACATGGGGACTCCAGGAATCCGGCACGGGCCCCACGACCTGCAGATCCTCAGAAATAGACCCTGGCTTGCAGGCAGGACCAGGCAGTGGGCTGTGTGTGGTAGTCATGGTCAATCAGCACCGTATAGGGTCTCAAGGCATCATGAAGACACTACGACTCTCCCCATATTAGGCAAAATCTCAAGGTAAATACAAATATCAAAATATGCAACTCAGTCCTGCCTTGGACTGCCGTCCAAATCCAGGTAGACCCCTGCTCTGTGCCCCCTACTTCCAAGGGTAGGCTCCAGGTCCACCATGATGAGCAGATATGAAAGATCGATGGATGGAAATTGAAGAATCCCTCTGATACCATGAGGGAAGTGGACAACTTATATGAGAGGCCATTTTGAAAATGCATTTTGTTTTACAAAGTATGGATCTGTAGTAATGAACGTGCACAAACTATTGGCCGACATTATAGCTTTGTGACTCATTGAAACAGCAATAAGATATGGGCTGGCCTTCACTTTAATAACTGGTGACATTCACTGTCAACCACGCTGTCACTGGAAATAGACCATGGATGACTAGCAAATTCACCTTTAATTCATAACACTCTGCTGAGTTTGAAATCCGCATGAAGCACGATCCCGGCAAATCAAACGTCTGTTGGACCCTTCCGAGTATGAGATTGATTTTCCTTAATTGTCCCCAGTTGACCTGTTGGCTTCTTAATTGGACAGTATCATTGCTGTCAAAGTTCGACTGTTCATGGAAATTTCAGCAATCTACAGCTATGTCTCTGCGTATAGATACCTTTAGGTACTACAGTAAAGCTATAGCTCACAGAGGACTAGTGTATGCAGGGTGGCTCACATAAGTATTATAAGTATTATATCTATATTGGCTACCCTGTACTGCTGTGTTAAACAAAAACAAAAAAAATCTCTGCTTCCCACGTCTGGATTGTGCCCGAAATGGGCACCACATGACCTGGAGCGCTGGTTCAATCCCATGGAAGTATGACATCGTTGATGTGATTTATGAACCGTGACATTGGGTGCAGCCTTCAATCTGCTGACTCCCACAGGCCTGCATGGACAACTGACTCATTAATGGACATAGCTTTGACTATGACCCCGGCTGACACCTTTCTTTTAGCAATCAAGCCCACTCTTTCTTGTTTCTATATTGTTAGCATGTCCAGTGGGGACTGAGCAGTTAGTTGACCTTGGACCCTCAAAGGTTTTTTTCTCCATACTTGGGAGTTTTTGGTTCCTCTCCTCTGTTGTTATCTGGTTTTCTTTTTTTCATTCTGCCTTTCTGTCTTCCCTTTACCCCGTTTTATTCTGTATAAATAACGTAGTCAAGCACCTTGGGGCAACTGTCATGAAAGGCGCTATATAAAATTGAATTGAATTGAAATTGAATTGAATACTCAAGTACTCATTTTTCATTTTCTGAACACATTCAGAGATAACAGGTATTTATGCAGTAGTTACTCTCTTGAGTCCTGCTTTTTTCCCAATGCAGGAAATTCTTCTTGCTTTGATGCTGTCCCATCTTGTGAACCTGCCGGATATTTACTTAGTTTTTATTCACCACATTCAGGGGGGCGTTGAAATACAACCATCTCGACCGCCAGCTCCTGCATACCTGAGTTTTTGGAAAGCTTTGAACGAGACCTAGAATGTTTCCCTTCGTTTTTGATGGCCAGTTGGAGGCAGCCACAGTAGAGTGATGTGGGAGAGGTAGGTACCTAGAAAAGGTGAGATGGGGATATCCTGGACCAGAGAGCAACAGAAACTCTTCAACTGGCAGAAGATACAAGGCACCTATTTCACATATTCATTCCTTATTTTTGGATTTTACAGTTTGGACCCACCATTAATACGGCTGAATAATGTATGTAAATGTATTATTTTCATGAATGACTTTTCAAAGATTACTTTGGCTGAAGGGCTAATGATCAGGAATCAAAGGAGGAGTGATAATCTTGACATCTACATCTCAAACAGCTTGAGCTACAGTGTTCCTGGTTTATACAGCTGTTATGTTCAACCTAGGTCTTCAGTTTCTTCAAGTATTTTGATATTGTCATTGAAATGGTGGAATGCTTCCTCAGAGCTTATTGAACAATGATATATGTTCTTCATAACCCAACACTCGATCAGCCCTGGATGGCTGAATATTTTTTAAGCACATTGCTGTTCATTTGTGCTTCACAGAGGAAAGAAAACTGTGAAATTTAGAGACTTTTCTAATGTTGCCATTAAATTTGTAATGCTACAAATACACAATTCAATACATGCTGAATTCTGGAAAATATCTAGGAAGATGTTTAATCCAGAATCTACAGAACTACAAAACCAGTTGTGGGCATTAGAGGACAATCTAAGTATACTAAAGATAAATAAATGAGTTTTTAGAGAAAAATACAGAATATCTACCAAGAAAAAAATTTGCCTGGAAACAGAATAGCCACTAAACATCAGAAACAATATTTAACATAATCAAGGTATTACTTTCTGCAAGAAATATTCCCTGGTCCTTTTAGAAATGCAATTATAAATTTTTCTTTCAGATAACTTAAGAACAAAGCTTACATAGAAGATAATTTAGTGCAGTCATTCCAGAAATACAAAATATGGATATACAGCTTCAATCCAATGAATATCAATTTTATAGACCAAAGTTCTCTTTTTAAATCAGGTATGCGAGCAGTCATTTATGAGACAGGGTGGCAATGAGTATATACAGTATAATGCATAAGATTGATATTACCACTGGGGCAGCTAAACATGCATGTTTGGACACCAAGGTAATTCTGTCTTCACAAGTAAGAAATACATTACAATTTCTATTTCAGAAGGGCATCAACTTCAAAAATTAAGCAGAATCTTTCAGGTCCGACATGCCAGGGCCATTTCTGTAGACGAGTGATAAAAAGGTCTCTTTAGTGTCAATATATTTACAATGATTTATTGAGCAGATGTTTTTATCCAAAAGCAATGTACGACTGAGGAAGCCGGTCAGACGTCGTTCCTGGAGGAACCTTCCGCCCAGAGGTACAGAATACTAATCCACTGAAGCAGACACCACCCCATATTACACTGTACACCTGTATTGATCTGCCTGCTGTAAGGAAAAGTACCAAAATTCTTAGTTATATGAATACTGTCAGCAGATTATTGTGCGAAAATGGGGGCCTTATTTGGTACCACTAAGGTAATGATTGATTTAGCATTGGCCAGGGAAGTGATTAGATTAGAATTTAATGGGAAACTGGTCCATGTGGGGTGTCACCATTCTCTCCAGTCTCCGGCTCACAGCCCTTTTCCACTAATGCTACATCCGAATTGCAGAGCATATGATTAACAAATGGAAAAAAACTTTAAAAAAAAAAGACTACAGGGAATACAAAAAGAGCTCTCACAAAGTGGTGTGGGATGGAAAAAATCTTTAAAGTGCCCCACCATTCTGTATTCATTGTTGGTAGTCAAAGTGAAATTGCAGCACGTTTCCTTATGGGCACACAATCAAAAACTGGTGCTCGTTCTCTGGAGTCTATGTTCAAGATGGTGACACAGGTACACAAATGAAGTTTTGGATGAACTGCGTCTGATTGAATTCAGGGGCTATTGTGTTCCACTAATGACTTGTTTGTGGACATGCCCAATATTTTATGGCTTCCACTGAAATAAAGGTAGCTGATTATGAGAAAGACCTCTGTGTGTATGTTGATGCTTCCATGTCCCGCTCTTGCCAGTGTGGGGAAGCAATAAAAAAGGCCAATATGATGTTGGGTTAAATCTCTAGGTGTGTGGAGTTTAAG